CAGAGGGTTAGTCTGAGAACTTCCTGCCCTACCAGGCCCTCAGCTGGTTGACTCAGGAGCCAGGAATCCCTGGGGTTTTCCCCCACAGACCCCAGAAGACTTTGATTTATTTTCCTCTTTGAAAGTGGATTTGGGTGAAAACCGTACAGGGCAGAACCAACTCCCAGGCGGCTGTTTAGCAAGTATGCAGAGCAGGGGCTTAGGGCGCATTCTTCACATTGCAGCAGCACCCAGTTTTCTCCTCTGGTCCTCACCCGTCCTTGACTTCATCACCCCGCCCCCAACCTAGAGGATGGGGCAGAACTGCCCCTGTGGGTTTCCGAGACTGGAGTGGAACGCCTCCTCTCTTTCTCCCACGGAGCGGCCGGTGGCTTCAAACTGCTGACCTTGTCAACACTTTCAAAAAGAGGCAGGCAAGATCCTCTCTGCTAGTTCATACGCATCACTTCATAAGACTTGCATTCGATTCCAAGGTCTCCTGGCATTTTAGGAATCCTAGCACATACAACGACCGTGTCTAGGACAGCTCGGCCAATTCTGAATTAAACACCGTAGCCCTAAAACCAGAAAACAAACCCAAACCGCTCTCTCGCTGCTGTAGAGTTGATGCCTATGGATCGTGCCCGCCCCCCCATGTGTTCCAGAGTAGAACTGCCTACTCCTCCACCCAGAGGGCGGGGGTGGGGTGAGTGGTTCTAGGCTGCCCTTGAAGAAGGGCAGGGCTATCTACTCCTGTGAGGGTGGCGGTCTCAGAAACCCCCAGGGGCAGTTCTACCCTGCCCTGTAGGGTTGCTATGAGTCGGCACTGACTCCGTGGCTTTGAGTTTGGCTCTGTGATTAGGTGCCTTAACGTCAGTCCCGACTCCTGAAGACCTGATGCGTGGCGCAGAGGTCTGTACATTTTTCAGGGCCATTGGCATATTTGAGCCCATCGTAGAACTTTCCACCCCAAAGGGCACGTCGTCCAGTCTTTTATCGGACCGTACTGTGCTGTGCTCTACAAAAACTATTATCTCCCTGCCATCGAGTTGATTCCATCTCATGGTGACCCTCGAGGACAGTATAGAACGGCCCCAGTGAGTTTCTGAGACTGTAATTCTTCACAATAACAGAGAGCCTCGTCTTACGCTCGAGGAACAGACGGTGGTTTCGAACCGCTAACCTTGTGATTAGCACCTCAGCCTGTGATCACGACACCCCCATAAGATGTTCACTGACCGATATTTGTACGCAAGTCGTCAGGCCTTTCTTTCTGCTCTCGCTTCCTCTGGACGCTCTGCTGAAACCTGTTCCCTCGGGAGGATCCTGCTGGCATGTGGGGTACCAGGGACCTAACTCCCCACGTCACAGCAACAATTGTGAGGACGGTGCAGGGCTGGCCAGCGTTTCATTTGTTCGTACCCAGGGTCACCGTGAGTTGGAGCCAACTCACTGGCACCTAACAGCGACATGCCAAGGAAACTGTGCTTCGACGTGTCCCTCCTCAGTGAAATGACGGCCAGCAACTTCTCTCAATAATACGCCTGTCTCAGTCTGATCCGAGATCCATCTCGTGCCCATGACAAAGAAAGCTAACCCCACAGAATGCAGACATTAGTGAACAATATCATGGTGTTAGGCTGGGTTGTCTAGAGAGACCAAACCAGTGACATATATGTATGTGTCTTTCGTGTGTGTGTGTGTGTGTGTGTGTGTGTGTGTGAAAAGAACTTTATATGACATAGGCATCCCAGCCGAGTCCAACTCAAGCCCACGGGTCTGATGTCAGTCGGAGCCCTCTTCAGACCCATGGAGCCACAGTCTGATGATGCAGAAAGGGGAAGCGGGGAAGCCGGGAGATCACAGGCCGGTGGGTGCAGAGGCCTGTGGATCCAAGGTTGGTGGTAACTGATAGGGTGATGACAGCTCCCAGGTTGGCTCCCAGCATCAGCACCCCATGTAGGGCACACACCGAGTCCCAGCAAGCAAGGAGGGTGAAGGAACAAAGAGAGCAAAGTCCTCACGGTCTCCCTTATGAAAAAGGGCCACACACCCCAAGAATGCATCATCAGGCTAGGACCAGATTGTACAGTTTCACACGGGGTCAAGTTGACATAAAATCTAACTGCAGCAAGCATCGATATTACTTGCCAGTCAAATCTTGCTGGAGGTCATTCAACAAGGGTTGCAGCCGTACATGTACAAGGTGCTGCCGGAAATCCAAACACCAAACTGGATCCAGAAGACGATGTGGCATAAGGGACGGCACGGATGACGTCCGGTGGATCTTGGCTCAACGCCGAGCATCCAGAAAGATGGCGACTTGTGTTTTCTTGACTGTGCGAAGGAATCCAACTGTATGGACCCTGACAAACTGAATAACATGGAGTAGGATGGACATTCCAGAACATGTCATTGTGCTCATGCAGAACCTGTGCACGGAGCAAGAGACAAGCATTCGCCCAAAATGAGGGGGTCCTGCGTGGTTTAACATCAGGAATGGTGTCTATCAGGGTTGCTGCGGCGGCGTGGGGTGTACATGGGCTGTTAGCCACAAGGGCATCCGTTTGCAACCACCAGCTATTCCGAAGGAGAAAGAGGAGTCTGTTTATTTCTGTAAAGATATACAGTCTTGGAAACCTGTGCAGGGAGTGGGGGTGAACAGAGGAGTGCTAGTCTCTCATAGAGGGTTGCTGTGTGTCAGAATGGATTCAATGGCTGTGTGCTTGTTTTTGTTTGCTTTCATTCTGTACGTTGAGCAAGTAATCTGAGAAGCTGGACTACGTGAAGCCGGACATAGATCAGAACTGGAGGAAGGCCCACGAGGAGGCAGCCTAGGTGTGCAGATGCTACACCCCGCCTTGCTTCCAGAAAGTAGAAGAGACTTGAAACTCTTGCTGGTGAAGGTCAAGGACGGCGGCCTTCAGTCTGGATGACAGCTCCAGGTAAAAAAGACTGACTCCTTACCATTGGACCCGTAGACAACATCACGAAAAATGGAAAATAATAATAATAATTGAAATCGTCGAGGATTTTGCTTGGCCTGGGTCCACCGCCAGTGTTCGTGGACGCAGGAGTCAGGAGGCCAAGGGACATGCTGCACCGGGCAAATCTGTGCAGGACTCCCATAAAGGGACGAAGGGGAGCCAGGGTGTCGTGTGGAGGACTGAGGCGCATCTGTCCCCAGCCAGGGCCCTTGCGGCTGCCTCCTATGTGTTGCCAATGTTGGACGATGAATAAGGAAGAGGGGAGAAGCCTTTGTGCGTTTTTGAACCATGCTGCTGGCAAAGAACACTGACCTTCCCATGGACTTCCCGAGCAAACCCCTCTGCTCGCCAGACTGTCCAACCAGAACGTCCCGCATAGGCGACGACAGCAGGTCTTCATCTCACATACGTGGACATGTGAGCAGGAGAGACCATTTGGAGAAGGACAGCCGGCTTGGTACAGTGGAGGGCCTGCAAAAAGGGAGATGGAGCGGCGCAGTGGCCACACCCATGAGGTCAAGCCTAGCAGTTGTGAGGAGGGCGCAGGCCTGGGCAGCCTTTCCTTCTCCTGTGCGTGGACGTCTCCATGAGTGGGACCCAACCCGAGGACACCTAACCCCAGTCATCTGGTGACGGTTCCTTCACACACACACACACACACACACACATACACACACACACACACACGCACGCACCTACATACGCATACATATACACACATACATACACACACAGTCCAATCAAAACGGTGGCTCCTGAAATGATGCTTTTTAAAAAAAAAATCTCACTGCCATCGAGTTGATGCTGGCTCATAGTGACCCTATAGGACTGAGTAGAACTGACCCAGTGGGTTAATGAGGCTGTAAATCTTTACAGGAGTAGAAAGCCTCGCCTTCACCTTTCTTCTGCACGGATCTGACGTATCGTGACCCGATCGGACAGGGTAGAACTGCCTCTGTGATTTCCCGAGTCTGTCACTCTTTACAGGAGTCGTCATGTCTGCCTCCCTTGGGGCGGCTGGTGGTTGCGAACTGCTGACCTTGCAGTTAGCAGCCCAACTTGTAACCACGATGCCACCAGGGCTCCCAGGGATCTGTTAGGCCAGTTAAATTCAAATCAGGGGCCGTCATTCCAGAAGGGATGTGTTTTAAGATTACAAGGGAGCCATCTTTACAGATGTTCTCTAAGGACACAAGACAATCACAGGGGCTTATTAGGAAGAAGTTTTAAGAGCATTGAAACTGCATTGGTGAGGAAAACACGAGGGAAGTTGCGCTGAGAAACCCACCCCCCCACCCACCCCCATAAGGACAATATGTCTGCTCACTCTTCAAAGGCTGCAAGAGCTGTTCTATGAGAATTTCATTGGGAAACCAGACCCCCTTTACCCTTCAGCCCTGATCTTGCCCCTTCAGGCTTCTTTTTGTTCCCCAGACTCAAAGAACATGGTCAAGGAACATGATTTGAGTCCCCTAAGGATGCCAAAACAGCTATTTGAATGTGTAAATCCTAGAGCCCAGAATTCTTTAGGGAAGGGTTGCACGTTGCCGAACAGGCTGCCATTGAGTGGCGTCTGGCTTACTGAGAGAGATGGAAACACAGCCTTCGGAAGTGGATTGTCCTCCATGGAGGATATGTTGACAAACACTAGCTTCCTATTTTGTTATTTTTAATAAATAACGGTTGCTAGGATGTTGTCGCCGTTCCTTTTGATACTTTCTGCTCGCTCTCTCTCTCTCTCTCTCACACACGTGGGTGGGCGTGTATTTACATCGGAAAGTTTGCTAGGAGATGGGCTGCAGTGCTCAAAACTCAAGGGAATATGGAAGGGCCAGTCCAGGTCCTCGGAACGCTAGAGCCACCATTCCCATCCTACAGATGCAGAAGACTGAGGCCTGTTAAAAACACGGAGTGCAGCCCTGGCTCCCTCCACACCCGAGAGCTCCATGCAGGTGCCAGCGGATGAAGAAGATCTAGCCAGCCAACCCTGGTACCACGGTCCACTGTCCCGCCAGGTACCACCTCCTTCAGGGTCTCAGCACCATCTGTGAAGATCCAGTCCCACCCTTGACATGCTAGGGATTCCTGAATCCTGGGGTAGGGGGCTGGGACCAAGGTCTGTTGGAAGGGCTAGCTAGAGGGCTGGGGACGTCTTAAGGCTTGGTTGGCTTGGCACTGTCACTGCTTATATCTCAGTTGTCAATTTGGAGGGGGCGGGGATGATGTGGGGCATGGTGATGAAAATCAAAGAGGATCCACAGGTTCTCCAAAACCATTTGTTGTTCCCACTTGTCTCGCCCTTTGGGCCCAGGCACCTGTGACCAGGAGGCCCCACATCCCTCTAGCATTATTAGGTTAGGGATCCACCCTTCACTGGTAGGCCCTACACGAATTAACTAGCTATATTACACTAGGTTACATTCTGGCACGTGATTACATTGTATTGTATCGTATTCCATTAATGGTATGACCTACACGAATTAACTGGCTCTATTACACTAGGTTGCATTCTG